AAACTATATACAGCATTTTACATAAGCGTACAAAGTGGTATCATATTAGAGGCTAATGATTTGAGAAAAGATGATGCAGTGTGAAGTTGTACCTTCCGGTATATTTTACATCTAGAGTAAAATAAATAACTTTACTTCCACACACAAAAACAAAGATATAATAGTAAGATATTTAGGTTGGCTGTGTATTTACGATTACAAACAATTTCAGGTGACGGATGCCATAGTGCCTAACTGGAGCAGCTTCGATGCTCTCGGTGTATGAATGAATCGTGGCAAGCCGATATATTTTATCCTGCTCGAGGATAACATTTTGGGATTTTTTTTATAGTGATCAGATAAAAATTATTAGTAACCACCAACAAAAACAGTAGGTTAAATACCCCGTGAAGAAAAATGTGATAAATAAGATGTCCCTGCATTCAAAATGAGCAGTCCTTGGGAAATCAAATTCGGCACTTTACGCTAAGGTTTTCCTCGCTGTACCCATTTAATAAAGTTGCTTCCAAGCACATCCGACTGTCCGTGCTACATATACGTCACAGGTCCCTTCTGTTGATGACTTGCTGAGCCGCCACGCGTGCCAAGACTGAATGCCAGGGAAGGCGCGCACCGTCAGCCACTCTTCTTTTTTTTGTTCACGATACCGAACAACCTCATTTTCGTCCAGATATACAAGATGCACGCCTTTCAGTTTCTTTGATAGAACGCTCACCATTGTCCTGGCCGTCTGAATTGCGCTTACTGAACGTTCTCTCAGGTTGTTCAGCGTGGCGTGGTGCTTCACGAGTCCGCCAACTCCGTCACATGCATTTTTCCCATGTCCAGATGCAGAAAATAACCACTGGGCTTGTGGGCAATCGTCCTTTGCAAATTGGTGAAGCTGGTAGCGATTCTTGAAATGACTGGCGGCGCCGTCACTTACGCACGTCACGTACGAGTATACCGCAACGTTGTCTTCAACCCACTCCTTCACTTTTTCTAGAGCCAAGCAAGCGTGAGCGGCGTCGTGACACAGGTCCTCACTGATGATGGCAAAGCTGTTTGTAGATTTTCTTGTCGTCACTACACATGTGAATATCGAAACTTGTTTTTTTTCCAGTGATATGCTTGCACTTCGTCAGGAAGCACGATGGTCCAGTTTTCAGCAAAGTCAAAATGAAAGACAATGCTCCCGCGTTGCATGCACTGTTTTTCATCGTAGATCACTTTACCTTGCGTTTGCCGGATATGGTTGTGAAGTACCCAACTTCCAACCGTCACTTGGATGACTTTTAGGAAAGTCTCAGGTTCCAAAGTTTTTTTTCACAAGGTCGCCGGACTCCCATGTTGCAAGCACAATCTCTTCATCCTCCGGGATATCAAGTTCCTGGAGCGTAAGAAACTGGCCTTTTGGGCAGTGATCACAGTCTCCTTGAAGGCACAGTTCTGTTGCTGGGTCGCACAGAAATGCCGAGTTCATTTCACCAGTGTTGAATGTTGATCCTGTAACGTTCTCTAGAGCGGCAATACAAAGATAATAATTGGCGCAGCGCACACAAACGCACACTTCCTGGTGTGGAATACATTGGACCCATCTAGGGCGCAACGAATAAAATTTCGTTAGCCCAACGCCGGAATCGGGATGCTTGTCTTTGTATATACGGAAGGCCTCTCGTATTGAGCGTGTCATGAAGCGCTTTGGCACGAACGTTTTCTCTCCGTTGAGCATGACAGTGATGACGTCCTTCTGGTTGGGACTTTGGCACGAACATTGTAGCTCGTCTTTCGTGAAGTACTCTAGGGCAGCAGACAGGTTCTCAGGGCTCACCTTGCACCTCGTGTAAGGATCCGGCTCATACCACACGCCATGCTTTTCCTTGAGTTTTCGGGATTTACTGATGAGGTACATTGAGGCCTGTGGAATCATCTTTTGAACCTCATTCTTCGTCAGTGTTGACGGCAGGAGTGTAAGCAGTTGACAACGTTCCCGGAGAGAGGTGGCGGTTTCAAAGGCCTGCCGAAAGTTGTCCACCCACTCAGTGCATGTGGAGCATGTTGGTTCGGACGACCCCGATGGTGCGTCCCTGTCGTACGCAATACGTAGCCTTGAGCGTATATTCTTGACAGCAACCTGCTCCAGTTCTGTCTGCTTTCTCTTGACATAGGCAGGCCTGTCCCGACTTCTTACGACGCTTGGTTGTCTCAGCGGCGACACATCTGTAGGTAGTATGCTGCGATTTAGATCTTCAATTGCTTCTTCAGCTGGCACAAATATGTCAGGGCACTGCTCTGAGCTTCGCATCGAGATCTCCTTAGTGATGTGCATGAAGCAATGGTAGCACAGGTAGTCCGTCGCACTCACTTTGGTGGAACAGTCAGGCGGAAGAATTTGCTTCAACGAGTTTAGGTCCAACTCGCCAACACTTCGAAAATTCCGCTGCTTTGGTATAGTCTTTTTGTGTTTGCAAAAGTAATCTGCACAAAACACTCGTTCGGAGCTCCAGGACGTCTTCATAATGTATACATAAATAATAGAAATTAAACCCCAACTGATGGCATATAATTGCCAAGTGAAAGAACTACTGGGTGCACAAGTGACAAGTCCGAGGCTGAGGAGCTCACTCCCTGCAAACGTACATTTGAAAAGAGAGGTCACAACTGAGGCTGTCGGCAAAGCTTGATCCACGTCGAAGGAAGAAAGAGGGAAAGTCTCCAGACAAAAAATTGTGGTCAGCGGCCTTCGAAAAAGACTTTCCGGAATCGCACTGTCGTCCCTCCACGCGCTGATATGAAAGCACCCGAGCTTCTACCACGTGGTTCATGACACAGCCTGAGCCATGTCGGCGACCGGTTCACGAGGGGTTGGCGGTGGGGTTACGTTGATGGTCACTCGGATTAGCCCTTGCTGTACTGAGCTACCGCCTGCAGTGCCTTATCGCCGGCTGGTGTCAACAACGAGAACACACACACCCTGTCTACACCAAAACTACAAGCGTTCACCGCACACGCGTCGCCGCCGCTTTCAAGCTTTTGTGAAATTGCTTTCTTTTGCCGCGGAGAACCGCCTTATCTTAACTACGCGCCTGAAATCCTTCCCGGCGGGCGTACACAATATCAAGCGTTTCGATAAATGCCCGTGGAGTAGAACTATGGGAAAATTCGGAGCCCGCGATGTCGATATCGTCGCCGTTGTGTTAGTACGCCGTCGCGTACTGCAGTCCCCCGTTGGGGGAGGGGGGGGGGGGGCGGTCTTACTACGATAACATGGCGACAGCGTTTACACTCTATGTATTTACGCGAGGCTCGAGTATTTGGGGATAATGCTGCCGGTTGGTGTGCCCCTTTGTGCCTGATATTATCGCCCGTGACGCCAGCGAGTGTGATGGCGACAGGCATGACTGCTCAGTAAACAGGCGTCAACGGCCATGTTTTGCTGGTTGAAGCGAACCCCCTTGTCCTTGACAGCGAGCGGGGGAATGCGAAAAAAAGATTGTATCGGCCGTTTTGCCAGAACTAGCGACGAGTGTCGTCTGCGGTTTCCGGCAACTATTTTGCCATAATCGTGAGCTTAGCGAGGAAATGATTTTTGCTAGCCACAGAACACTACCACGCAGAAAGGGAATGCTTGAACATGTTTTTGTTCTGGATATATATCAGGGATATATATGAGAGAGAGAGAGAGAGAGAGATGAAGGTAGAGCGGAAGAGGGAATAGCATATAGTGTAGCAGGAGAATAAAGTAAACAAAGTTCCTAGTGGCCGATGGCTGCATGATCTTTTCTCGGATCACTAGTCCGTTATATGATACCTCTTTGTACACAGTAGTTTCTCCTTAATTTAAGTGTGTGAACGATTTCTTTAATTATCATTGGCCTCATCTGAATAAAAATATATAAAAGATGTGTGTTGGTTTCATGAAACTGGAACTCAGAGTCAGTTCTTGTATAAAACACTGCTAAGTGTAGGCTTTGAAAAAGGACCCTACTTTGGGGAGTTGTATCTTCTTTCTCAATAAAATGATGCAACATGTTTTTAATGGAAATGAATGCCGAAATAGAGTATAACAGGTTACCTAAATTTTTAAAAAAATCGAGGGTGGTGTTTTTTTTTTTATTCGCATCGGAATTTTTTTTTGTTTGACTTTTTTTCCATGTTTGACTAAATATATCCTAACTATTGTATCACACAGATACTTTAGTTATTTTTTAAATATTAGCCATATATTAGTAGAATAATATCTGCAAATTATATCATAATGATTAAATTATTTCATGAGATACAGACCTCCCAAGTTTGCCATTTGTCGTTCGAGCAGGCATGTTTGTCAATTTTTAGAAAAATAAATAAATTTTAAATAAATATGATTACTTTATATTACAAGCAAGCAATACCCATAGTTTGCGCCTAAAACGTATTAGAGTTCTCCTAATGTTATCGCTTTAGTTATTCACTCTCAAACGGGCCCCCTCCATCAGTGCGCGTTAATGCAACTGTCCAGCACCTCATGCCTTACGATTTTTCCTGTCCCCAAGTATTTTTTCTAGTCAAAACTAAGTTTGGATTCGTTCATACCAGACACTAGACAATAACATATAAAAACATCAGTTGATTTGAAAATGTCGACTAGCCATCCTTTGGTCGATCTTATCTGAAATCACCCATATATAACCACGTTACATACCACACATTCTCCTTCTGACATGGATGAAAACGAACGAAAGGCTCGGCATGCTGCGGCTCACCGTCTGCGCAGACAAGCACCACCAGAGCTTCGCCCCGATCAACATCATTCACCACATGGAGATGCGGTTTTTTTTTGGGTATTTTTGCCCTACACGAGCACGGGAGCACGTGAGCGCATGAGCTCACGAGCATGAGCACATGCATCCGACGGCGGACGGACATACGGACATGGCTAGCCCCTAAGGAGCTTCGCCCCCAAAAACATTTGCCTATTATTTTTTGCAATGTTAAATATGAGAAAATACATGCCCTAGTCACGGACCACCAGAACTCACCTTCAGCAGTCGGTCCAGCAGCTCCGACCCATTCTTGACGTGCTGGTCCGAGTCGGCAGCCAACTGCAAGGGAGCGAGCAGAAAAACCAGCCTAGTCGGGCATCTGACCATTCAAACGTTTGTTTCGAAACTCCAAACCAAGTGCAGAGAGAAAGAAACAGCGATGGCAAATTTATCGAGGGTCCTTCAAGCTCAAAAAGCTGGGTGCTCCGATTTCAATGCTGGGCAAGATTGCATAGTCAATTCTGTCACCATACCTACAAAAAAAAGGGTGGCTTTTTCGCTCACAATGAGTAAAGTAAAAGCGATAGGTGCAGCACATTCGCGCAATGCGAGGCAAAATGGTGTCATCACGTACAGGAGGACGGAGGTGCGAACCGGTTCATGCACGCTGCCGTCGTGGTTGGCGTCGTGGATGCCAGTGGCGACTACCCCGAGTGCTAAGCGACTGGAAAAGTGAGTTGGCCAAATGACCACCAAACTCTCGCTGGTGGTCAGTTTGGGCGCCACACCGGTCGGCAGCCGAGGAAGTCTGTTGTTCTTTCCGCGCTTGCTCCTGGGACGGAGCACGGCCTTGGCATGGCGATGCCATTAGAGAGAGTCTGCGACAGCGACGACGCGAGCGAACGCGCAGGTTTTTCCGGTGTTGTTGAGCCTGAAGGGAGAGAGTAATGTTGACGTTCAGCGACAAGCAGAGAGGGGGATGCATGCAGAGAAACGAGGCGAGACTTGGGGGAAGCCGACGAGTTTTGGCAGAACATATTTCCTATTTCAAATTGGGTTCAAGAAGTAGAGACGTTGTAGTAAAATCGAATGCAGTGGAAGTCTTTAAAACCCTCCAACTTTACGCGTAGCAAGTGGATACAGCCAAAGCGGGATTTCGTATAACGCGAGTAATGTTTGAAAACGCCTGTATTGAAGTTATTGTTGGCAGACAACAGGGGAAGGCGCTCCGCTGAGGCTTCCTCGTCATTGCACCATTCTTTGCGGGTCGTCAAAGGCTCTCTTCTCATCCCTCTTCGCGTGGCGCGAGCAATGGGAACACCCGACTTCTCTCTCCTCCCGCCATGTGGGGAGAGAAGAAGGGTTCTTCCGTCTCCGCTGCGACGACAGACAACAAACGCTAACACCGAAATCCTTGCTAACTTTCACCCGTAAAGCTACCACTTTAAAACAATGACTGTCTCTTTGGCATTTCCTAAAGACTTTCTAAATGCACAGTTTTACAACACCTTTGTTCATGACTGCCCAAAACCAGTCTGTTACGCGCATTACAAACTGCTCCTAACGGATTGTTCACGAACTGGAGCATGAACTGCCGGTCGGCCGCCGCATAATGGCAACTGGCTTTTGTCACTGCTAAGCTCAAAGCTCTCTTGCTCTTCCCTCTTGACCCTCCTGTGCCCGCTGCAGTCACCCCTGCACTCCTTCGTAACATGTGTAGTCCACTTTTCGGCTGCCAAACATGCACTGAGGAAAGCGCCCGCTCCAAGAGCAGTTGCCGACTGCATACGAAGCGTGCAATTGAGGACTGCACCTTCTATCCAGGCCACATCCCAGGCATAGACATAAAGCATTAAGAGCTAATCCTACAAATGCTAGGCACTAAAAAAAAATAGACAGCAGAAATTTTATCTAGAAAGTGCCTTTCCAAGTCAAGACTTCCACTAATCACAAAACTGACCCGTTGGGCTAGTCGAGTTAAAATAGCAAAACACAAATAACCCTTCGGAGACGGCCACACACACAAAAAAAAAAGTTCTGCTCACATCTTTGACTGGTCCTTGTTCGTAGCACTACTAAAGTTTTGTTTTGCTATTCACATTTTCATTTCAACACCAGCCAAATTCCCAGTAAAACATGACGTGAGGAGTTGCACCCCACAGAACACAACGGATCGTTTGAGACATTTCCAAGCTCGAATGAGCATGTTCAAAATGTAGACACAAATGTTGCATGCGCTTGCAGTTATCTGATTGGCCTCAGCTTTTTTGGAGCACCTTTCAGAGCAGCCGAAACAGTGTTTTGGAGTAGAAAAAGTGGCTTTTGGAGCAGCCAGAACAGTGTTTCGGGGCAGCAGAATTGGCGTGCGGAGCAGATTTTTTTAGAAAACTATCCGTTTTAAGTGCTGGACAAACGAAGGGCACTTTGCTCGCCGCAATAAACAAATTATGGTCATGTTAGACCACCTGGGAGTCTTTCAACGTGTAACTGAAATGCCAATGACATGACACATTTTGCAATGCTTCAGTTAAATGATGCATATAGACCGACACGCTGTTTATAAACAAGCCCGCGTTTGCCCACACCTGTGGGCACTGCGCGTGCGCAGAAACCAAATTCGCGTGAAGTGAAGCGTCTGCGCATGCGCAGTGCCGTCGACAGCGCCACCGCAGCTGCGTGACGTCAGTGCCGCGTGCTGGTCTATATATGTACCCACTATAGATAAATAAGAACCAAACTGCACATATTAAAACTTATTTGAAAATGACCAGCTTAGTAGTAAATATCACAGCATTAGGCTAACTAGTTATACAGTTGAATCTCGATTTAAAGAAAACCGATTTTACGAATTTCCCGATTTAAAGAACAAATTCGGATTCCCCCCGAAGCCTATGCGCGAGGTCTCCGTTCCTCGATTTTACGAGGTTCCCGATTTAACGAAATAATTAGTGGGTCCCGGTGACTACGTTAAATCGAGGTTCAACTGTATAATATAATAAAATGGAAGCAGTCTCCGACTGATGAAACACGTAACTACTGCAGTGCAATGCGAAATTCTACAAAAGACAAAGGTGCGTTACGACTAGTGGGTGCTTTTCGCTTTTGCAAATTCCTACAAGGCTGCTGCAAGTCTTGCTTTGCCTCCCGCTAGTAATGGATCTCCACTTTCAATATCTCCAAAGAGACATTGAGACATCCCACAAGTGTACAGTGCTGTAGGCATTGCCGAGCAATTCCGAAAACTGCTTGCCAACGTTCTAGTGGTTCCAGAAGTGACAGATTTTTGCCAAAATTAAGCAAACGTAGAACAATGAATTGCAAGCGTCCCGGCTGGTGCCTCTGTCGTGCAATCATGTTCGCATGCACATGAGGGCAACTTTGGCAGGCTAGCAGTTGCATGTGCTTCGTCGCGCGAGCGGAGAGGGCCGTTCGATCGAAACCGAAACCATGCCACTCCGCTCCGTCGCCAACTGGTTCCCAAAATTGTAATGCAAAATGCAACTGTCCAGCATATGACAAAAAACGGTCCAGCGGCTCGTGCTTGCCAAGCTGGCAGGCGAGGTACAAGCTAAATGCGCAGAAAAAAAGAGCCTGAGTGCATCGATGCAAGACATCGCGAGCTAGGGTCAAAAAGTTCTTGGAGCGCTTTGTATAACTACTGAACTCGAGACAAACAAATGCGCTGTGTGGGTTCAGCGTGTAGACATTGCCTTCTTTGCTTTAGTTCACTTGCTTCAACTTTCTTTCGCAGCAGATTTTTTACGTACCAAGGTCCCTCTTTAAAAAAAAAAAAGAAAAACCTACAGAGAGAAATTTAGGTAATTTATACTTCGACACAGCAGTCTTTGGGTTAAAGAGGGATACTTGTATTAGCGTACGATTTAAACAAGAACAGCAATATTGATGAACACATGGCGGTCCTTAATTTTTAGTCAAGAAAGAGCCATATCTGCAACAACGTGGGGATGGCAAAACCCAACGTCGCGCGAACACGGTAACTGGCAGGCAGGGACCGAATATAGTTCTCCCACGGTCGTTTCTTTCAGGAGAGAGTGCTTCGGCTCACAAAGTAGCTCCCGCCTCGCAAAAATGTGGTTTCGTTTCACAGCGTCACAGCATGGCTGGTAACCGACACGCTAGCGTTGGAGCGTCCGCGCAAGCCAGCGTCTATCGTTGAAATTTTTTTTACAAAGTCGCAAGACGAGATTTACGAGACGAAGAGAGCGTGAAATGAGAGACGGCGGGAAAAACATGCAAGACCGGATGGACGATTGATGCAGTGTACTTTGTGTCGGGCAGCCGCTTGCGCCACCTAGCTCATGCATGCTGAATTACGGTACTTGGTTTAGTAACGGTTTTTAAAGGTGACAAAAATTAATCCTTCGGCGCAGGCTTGGCGCAGATTACCCATATTTTGTCAAAATGTAGCAGGATGTAGCAGGGTCAGCCTCTTGGCACAATTTGGCGCAACTGGCGCAGCAATCACATCACTGCGCTTGCCTCATCTGCTGGAAAGAGTCCAAGCCACTCACTAAAATAGGATGATGATGAGTGCCTGTGCAAAGTGCCACTTGTTTTAAATATCTGCTTAAAAAAGCAAAAAAAAAAAAAAAACAAGTCCAGGCTTGTTTTACGTGTACGTACAATGCATGAAGTCAGAAACCCACCATGCTCCTTGCCACTTGAGAATTCTTGAAAGCGACCTATTCTCTAACGAAACCCCTACAAATAGAAAGCACAACCCAATTACAGAACAATGAAGGTTCTGGATGCATCCAGAGTGAAAAGCTGCTGTCTCCAGAGCCTTTGTGGTTGTGCAGAGCACCCAGTATTCACCCCTAGTGTATTCACTCCTATAGTTGGTGACAGGTCAAAAACGAAGTGGGAGCTCCTTCCACCCCTTTCCACTTCAGCAGATCGAACGGTGGAGAGGAAGTCGCCTCCTCTCTAGCGTTCGCATTACTAAAGTGGAAAGAGGTGGGAGGAGCTTCTACTTCGTTCTTGACCTGTCACCGACTATAGTAAAGTACTCGGTTTCAATAGAGGGTTCAATTGCAAGCAGGTTAATGTTTGTGGTGCTCATACTCCTTTCAATGTCTCCACTGGTTGTGCAGTTTCTCGTCCGAATGGGCAGCCGTCATTTTGTAGCACCATTGAAGGAAAACTGAACTCCTTAAAAAACGGCATTTTCCAACAAAATCCAGCGGCACTCGCTCCCAAAAACCTATGTGATCGCAGGGAGGGAGCGACAGTGCTGCCTCGCCTTCACTCTTTCCTCGTCACCGTCTCCCCTTGCACAAGCACGTCATCTATGGCAACACATACTTCGCTCCCTCTCTCTCTCGTGTACCACCACCCTCGCCGCCGCCGCCCCTTTGAAATTCTAGGTTCTCCAGCACGTCATCAAGAAAGAAGAGACACGGTCCCCAGCAGCACTTGCTCAGTTCTCTCTCCACTCCCCTCCACCCACCCCTCACCAGACATGACCAGGCCATGTCTGGTGAGAGGTGGGTGGAGGGGAGTGGAGAGTGCTCCATCTCGCGCTTCAAGATGGAGCGCACACGATGCTACAGTAAAGCACTTTGAGAGCACACGCTAGCTCGTGCGCGCCTGTCTACGTGCTATGTTCTCCGCGCAACTCCACGCCAAAAGTTTACTGTATAGGAAAACTCATTTTAAGTTAGCAGAGATTCCAGAACATGCTTCTATTTCATGATTTCAGCTCTGAAACAGAAGCATGTTTGTAATTTCTTAGTGAGACCCATTTCTTTGTATAAACAAATAGGTCTCACAAATCAAAAATTGTGCTTACATATATATTTTTTTTTAAGGTTCATTTTATGACGTGTTTAATCTAGGTAATTAAGAAATATAGAAGATGCTAGAAATAATTTTAGATGCCTTACAATTTCACGGATGAAGTTTGGAAACGCAGAATGTACAGCATATTTTGAGCCCCTCCCATTTTTAGGAACCAGTTACTGCAGTCTGCTATAAAGAAAACAAGCTCCGTTATGTTCTTACGTTTCGTGACACTCTTGGCTTGGGAAACAACCCTAAAACACGTTGCATGTTAAAAAAGTGCCTCTGAGCACATAGCATTTGTAGGGCCAGACTTAGCATGTTCACGTCCCCGGAAGTAGCCTCGGTAGAGGGCGCAGCATGGAGTGCGCAGTCGCCGATTGCACACTCGGTACGCAGTCGGCGACTGCTCTCGGATTGGGAAATTTCCTTGGTGTGTGCTCCGCAGCAGCAGAGCGAGCTAACCGTACCACGAAGGCTCTTGTTTGCAGGCACAAAAGCGCCGGGCCCTGCCACTGCAGGAAGCCCACATGCAGTGGCGTAACTAGATATGACGGCGCACAAGGCAAATGAAATTTTGCACCCCTCATGATGATACTGATAATGACATCATCATCATCATCATCATCATTATATTATTATTATGGTTGGACTCGGCTCGGCACCCCCCCCCCCTAATTACGCGACTGCCCACATGCAGTCGATCGGCAATTCGAAATCACGGACAATCTGCCTGGTGCGGCGTTTAATATGCGCAACAGATCGTGGTTTTGGGTTGACGTGAGCAAAACAGTTTCAATAGCTTGGCATTCAAAATGCATCTGAGAAATGCCAAAAAAACAGCCAATCTTCTTGTTTTTTTTTACAGGTTTTGCATTTCTTTGAAAGGCAGTCTGAGCACTGCGAGTCTACCCACCTTGCTGAGACAGTCGAAGATGTCGTTGAAGTTGGGTAGCACGGAACCCCGAGCGACCTTGACCACATTGTAGAGGGCCTCGCAGGCGTAGTAGCGCACCCTGCTCTCTGAGTCGCTCAGGCAGGCCAGGATGGGCTTCACCAAGTCGTCCACATACAGAGACGAGTCCTGTTCCAACGGGAGAGCAGACTTTGAACAGCATCCACTCGAGCAATGCCGCTTCCTTTCCGTTCTGCCTTCGATGGATCAACAAGCCATATGGCGCCACTCAAACAAAATAAAAATGATTTTTACAGCGGAGCTGTTGACGGCTAGTTTCCCCAGTATCGTGTCCGTCAGCAAACAAATGATGACACGAAACTCTGGACAACTACCGCCATCTATGAGCGATAGCAGCAACCAGACAACCGGCTTGCTGGTTGTCTGGTTGCCGCCATCGCTTCTAGATGGCGGTAGCTGTGCAGCCTTTCCACTCCGACTTGCAGCCAGCCATTACTTCATTGCCACCATAGTACAGCTTTGCTGGTCTCCCTTCTTCACCAGAGTGGAAAGGCTGAAAGTTTTTGAATCTTAAATCTTTATGCTACCTCTGTTTTTTTTTTTTTATGTCATCCGCGGAGGAGACAGAGAAAAAGGCATGGTGCCTGACAGTCCCCTTTGGTACAGCAGTGTGAAAATGAAGAGGCAGCAAAACGATTAGAAACAAAAATTAAATGACCGAACAACAATAAAACTCGATTGATTGTGACACATTGAAAGAAGTGTACAATCAACACAAACTTGAATGTTGCAAATTGATCCTACTATAAAAGCCCGAGGTTAGATACCGCATGTACCACTTCGCATTTTTCCGACACATAAACTAAGAATAAAATAAGGGACACTAAATAAACGGGTTAAATCAAAAGGAGGATGTCGCACGATAACGTTAGAATGTGCAATAATAAATTTTAGCAACTTGTGCATCTGCAGAAATGTACCTGGAGCCCTAGACTCAACAAACACAAAAGTGGCGACATAGTAAGTTCACGGAGCACGTAATTGGACTCTCGCAACGCCTAACACGGCGCTTTTGGTGCCAAAGTCCGTCCGGGGCGCACCACCAACTTTCGGCTACAACTTAGCATTTGATGAGTCTAGAGCCTTGCTACTTCATGTAACCACAGTTATTACAAAGCACAACTTCTAATATTGCAAACGTGTTAGACAGAAACACAAACAACATTTAAGTGAGACTTGCAGTGAACAGATACCAGAAAAACCGTTTCAACATATTGAAATGACAGACATAGTATCCTGCATAACGGAAGAGCTTTTAAGTTGGTTTGACTGTACTACCTAGAAGCATGCTGTCACAAGAAAAAGAGTATGTTTTAGTAGCAAGTGAGAAAAGACTGGTTCCTTATAGAATCTCCATCTCCAAAGCTGTTACAGTTGAACCTGAATTTAACGAAACCAGATTTTACGAATTGCCCAATTTAACGAACAAATTCGGATTCCCCGTGCAGCCTATGCCCGAAAAATGTCTTTCTCGATTTTACGAAGTTCCCAATTTAACAAACTAATTTGCAAGTCCCGGTGACTTCACTAAATCGAGGTTCAACTTACAACAGGAAGTGCAGGTTCCAGCCTCAAGACAAAAGTGTTTAGTGAACTAATGTGAAAAACTACAACAATCTCTCACTTTGTGTGTTTATTTCCCTCATAATAAACCTAATACGGTCAAACAAATTTATAATGAATGGCTCTACCATGAAAATGCCCGTTTAATTAAGTAAAATAAAGTCCAGGCCAATCTCCCATGTGCTCAATGTGTTTCTGTGACTACTACAACAAAGTCCTGTTTAACAAATGATTCTGTTTAACGAAGCGATTGTGCAGCCCCAAAAAGCAAAGACGACCAGTATCACAGGCTTTCTAGGTGAAAAGGAATCGATTTTGCGTATATTGTTGTTCTCAAGTGGTGCTCGTAGAGAACAGAAATATTGCGGCAGCGGCGACGGTTACAGCAGCTGCACCCCTCCCCCGTTGATGGGCTACACATTTTCAGGCCCAAATAATGTTTTAGTGTGCATCCTTGTGCCTAAATGGTGCTATGTGACTATCTATGTTGCTACGTACACAGGTACAGGCTTCCTACTTTGTCACACAGCACCATTTAGACACAAGGTTGCTCACTAACAAATTATTTAGACCCAAAACCGAGAAGGCACATACTCGTTTTCTTATTTTGCAGGTGTGGCGGTGAATTTGAAAGGACCCGCGCGAATTGACGTCACATCAGCCACCATTGGTCCAGACCGTGCTCCTGTGCCCATAACCCCTGCAGCACACATTTTGCACCATCGACTTTGTTCTTCTTGGCAAGTCTTGGCAACAGAATGAATTTGACGGTGCAGAAGAACAAGGCTTGCCGAGAAAGACGGCTGGTACGGTGCCATGATGTCAATAGAAAAACATATGCGACAAATCCCCCCCTAAAAATTTTGTGTTTTTTAAATTGCGAAAATAAAATATGCAATGCCGAGTGCTCATTCTTCGCCCATATGTAGCGCTAGAGGTTCGAACCAGATGCCAAAGTTCCAGCACGAACCCATACCTTATACAAAAGTTGCGTGATTTTTTAAAAATTTCAATGGAAAAATGGGGTCCATTTTTGCTCGTTTTCGGTTTCTGGCACCATAGAGCTCCATGCATATTTGAAAGCTCCGTCGGCCAATATTTTCCCGTTGAAATTTTCAGAAAATCACTTATAACTTTTTAACAAGACAAGGGTTAGTGCTGAAACTTTGGCACCTGGTTCGGACTTGTAGCGCAATCGGTGATGCATAGTTTACTTTAGCAGCAAAAAAAATGATTAGCCTTTTCACTCTCGTGAAGAAGGAAGACCAGCGGAGGTGTACTCAATACGCTGCCGTAACGCGCACGCGCCCGATTTCCACTTCTTCTCATCCGACACGCCCCTGATCGTGGATACGTCTCTGGCGAACCAGAGTCGGTCGCACACGGCGCATGTGACGCCAAACGAGTTCTCTACAAACTCCCTTCGGAACCTCGCCGTCGCACCCGGGAACTGTTCAGCCGGCGTGGAGTGCAGTCATCGCCGGGCCTCGCGCTTGCGCTTCGCCTCCGTGGCTTGATCGTCGTCCGTGGCATTGGCTCACTGGCACCCTTTACATCGCTGGTTCTGTTCTCAGCGGCGGCTTTCCAGGCAAGCAATGCGCTTTTTGGCGAGGGAATCTGAAGCGCTGGACGCAGTGGAAGTCGAGGCGACAGCAGCTTTGCAGCGGTTGCGGACCCATTCGCGCTGCTGTGTATGTCGCCGCTCCTTGCGCAGCCCATCTCCTTTCCCCAAAAGGGCACGCAGCCGACCCACCGTGAGTTCAAACCGAAACTGATAAGAGCATAGGAAAGAGTGCGCAAAACAGACGAGGACGAAGAAACAAACGTGACGAGAGCTGTGCTCGTTACGTGTGCTTCTTCTTCGTCGTCGTCTGTTTTTCACGCTGTTTCCTACGATGAATTCCCACCAACGTGCCCAACTATCCATTCTTCTTGATAGCTAGAAAGGTTGGCGCCATCTACGAGCGACGATGGAAACTATACTGGTTGTGTGCTTGCCGCCGTCGCTTATAGATGGCGGTAGCTGTCCAGGTAGGTTTGTGTCGACATACCAGACACGATCCTGGGGAATTTAGCCCTTAACAGCTCCGCTGTCAAAAACCATGTAAATCTTTTTTTTTTTGGGGGGGGGGGGGGGGATATTTTGAATATATAAAAAGAAAGTATCTTCATGGGCACAGACTTGGAAATCTCCCGCATCAACTCACGATGTCGGAGGAAAAAAATTGACGTTCATCGGGGCTCAAGTTGAACAAGACAGGTCACAACTGTGGGGTTGCCCTACCTCCGAGGAACATGCTCATGACCCGAATACTGCTCAAAAAATCTCCCGGTATCAATTAAAAAAAATGGAAAACGAGACAAGGGGCGCGGTTCTCGAAGAATCAAGCAGCCCCACGGAAAGTTCATGGGGGGGGGGGCTGTGTTTTGTATCAAGACAAGGCTGCAGATAAAGATATCTTCTCCGTCAAGCTTAGGATTTTTTTCAGTTTTCCCTCAATTTTGATTAAAAAAAACTGCCTTGGGGTTACTTTCCTGAGTTTATCCGTAGGTATATGTACCAAAAACAGAGAACCAGTAATGTGACTGGGCATTTGTTTTCAGGGCTTCCTCTTCTTCAAATTCGAGGGTGTTTTATTGGGGTCTGGTTGTTCCAAATATCCTGCATCTTTCGTTAACAATTATTGGTGCCACACAAAAACATTACGTTTATCAGGGCTTGAGGAAAATGAGACATGAGCTTCCCCAACCTCCAGGAAACATGCCTCTGACCCTATCAAACTGTCTCTGCACCGATAAGATAAGGAAACGAGATAAGAGATTTCCGAACAAAGAAGTGGCCTTGCGGACAATTCAGTGCCGGTTGTGTTTCGGGTGAAAACAAAATAAAGCCACAGCCAAAGGTTTATTCCCACGAAGCTCGGGTTTATCTTATTAAAGGTCAGCTCCGATTCAGGGTTTTGTGGCTTGGCCAATTTTTATAAAACCGGCTTGCAAGTCACTTTTAGGGGTTTATTGATCGGCGCGTATTGAAAATATGTGGCAATAATTGCGCTGCCGCCCATAAGAAACTACCGAAGCCCAGGGCCATACCTTGCCCAGGGCAATGGACATGGCCGCCAACCCGATGAGGCCGCCCTTCCGGCTGTTGGGGTTGTGTGCCAGGGTAAAGTCCTGGCCCAGGAGCTTAAGCAGCTTCTTGATCTGCATCACATTGTTCTTGGCAGTGAAGTCCTTTACCATCCTGAGGGAAACAGGCAAAAGAGAGGAACTCGTCAATCACACGAGGTACATGAACAAAGGACCACCCAAACAATGCTATAGAAATCGTCCCGGATAACCGATCCGCTAAAGACAGCCACACTCGAATATGAATTTGATTATAGGAATTAAATTAGTGTAATGCAATTATTTTCTGAGTAATTTGTACTTATAGTCGGTGACAGGTCAAGAACGAAGTGAAAGCTCCTCCCACTTCTTTCCACTTTAGTAGAGTGAACGCTGAAGAGGTGGTGACCTCCTCTCCACCGTTCGCTCCGCTGAAGCCGAAAGGGGTGCGAGAAGCTTCTACTTCGTTCTTGAACTGTCACCGACTATAGATGTAATTTAATTGTATCACGAGCAAACAGTTCCGTCGTCAAACATGAGTCCCGGGACTGGTTTGTTCCACGGAAGCGCGCGGGCTCTTTTACACCCTTGCTTTGACGTCGGGTGACGTCGTACATTTGATACGGTAATTTAAAGGGGGATTTGCAATCGTATTTAACTGTCTACCTTTTTTTGAGGTTTCCACATTTCTTCGGGTTCAGGCAAGCCAGCAGGCACGGAGAGAGTAACTAAATATCACTGCGTCATATTTTACCCGGACAACGCGGAAACCTCCTACACCTATGGGGCGACTCGCAGTGCCGAAAGCATGCAATATGTGGAGTCTTTGGTCCTGGGCTTACTACTGGTCAGAGCCGCTAAAAGCTTTTTAGTCAAAATACAAAATATATGAGGCGCAAACCGTTTCCATTATTTATGAAAGTAGTTTTTGCTCAGCATTTTAGAACATAAAAAAAAAAATGCAGTTCATAAAGTACGGAAACAAGAAATGAACCTTCAACATACCCGCCACCAAGAGATGGAAAAGGCGGAGCATACTAGAAAGGGGTAGTGGGATCAGGCACCGACGAGCGGCGAGCGTAGAAAAGTCCCGGATGTATGCGGCGGCGCTGCAGTCGTATACGGGCTTGAAGGTCCGACCGGTTTCAAGCGTTCTGAAGGTCTTGGGCAACAAGGTTTGGCTTGCGGTTTGGCCGTTTGGCGGTATGGCGGCGCGAAGTGGCTACCGTTCTGAACTCATCTTAAACCCATGTTTGCTGTCGTTTGTGGCCAATGAAGTGTCATGCCGAATTAGTGTTTAATCACACAGCAAATGCAATACAAGCCGCCCTGGCTGCCCGCTTCATACAGCCTATCCAGAACATGCTTTAGTGGTGCCCTCTTGAGCCATAGACACGGATTGCGGCAGCCGTGAGCGCTCACCGAGCTCACTACCCTTCCTCTAGCTCACTGCCACTCAAGCAACCAAGGACATCATGAAGGAGGTTATTTTTTGCTCGTTTTTGTAATTTTAATTTGCCTATAACTTTTAAAATAAAGTGAAATTCGAAAAAAGAAGTTTCATTAAGTTTCCACGTTCAGAGCGCTCAGGTTCGGTGCAAATTAAAAACCAGCAAAAAAGATTTAAAAGGTTAAAAAGCGCAACACAACAAGGACAAAAAGACACAAAGACGACAGGACGTTTAACCTTTTAAATCAGCATGAACCAACTCGCCCAAACACAAGTTTTAATTCAGCAAAAAAGTCCTCGCAGGGCCCTTTTAATTACAATTTAGGATAAATACTTCCAGAACCTAAATTATAATTAATAGTACTCTTTACGTGGCTCTGTCGTTCTGAAGTTTTGATCTATAGAGTCACAGAAAAATGAAAATACACTGAATGTCTGCCTCATTGCCCTTCTACTGGCTTGTGGGGCTTTGAATACTCCGAGACTATGACAGTGGATGCACCTCTGAGCAACTGTCAAACACACGACACCTGCAGATGGGTAAGAAAGATGCTCCACGTAAAGCAAGATTCTTTTTGATAGAAAGGATAAAGATAAAGGAATTTAAATGATGTGATTGCACTGTGTACATACATTCAATATCTTATCACAATTCATGTCAGCAATTTCAGAATTAAGTGATTTAACCTTCATTAGATCATTCTGGAGCCTGAAAACAGTAATAGATAACTTTTACTGTAAAATGCCAGTATAAAAAGAACACAAACAATCTTGGTGGTGTCTCAAAACAATAAAACTGATTTGCATCATACTAAAATATCAACTCTAATATCAAACGATTAATGAAGCAGGTGAGAACAAAGGCACAAAATGTAATGAATGTGAAACATCGTACACTAAATCCTTCATGGTCAGAGAAGGAATGGACAATTACACCTCGGTGCAGGAAAATGCTATCGTATCAAAATCACTGAAGTCAGGTAACCCTCAAATGAAAGCAACTGCTAGGTAATTGCATTACTTTCTGAAAGAAAGTAATGCAATTAAGAAAGTAGTACAAAATTATAAAGGAATCTTATCTGTGCGCTAGTAATTCTAGTTGTAATTAACTACTTTTGGAGCAGACTAGTCGTAATTGTAGATCCCTGGTGTCTGTCCAAGTTCCTGTTCCTTACGTAACTTATTTGCACTGTTTAAGTCAAGATAACCCCCTCATTGACTTGGAGAATTTGTGCAACAGGTTAAGCGATCACAGTTTTGACCACAATTCTGAGTGTTCCTAAGAAAACTTAGAAAACAAGTTAATAAGCTCAGTTTTCCCCTGTCTTCCAACTAATGAGATGATATGGTCCAGGGCAGCTGATGGCCGTAAGAGCGGGTGAGGAACCTGACCAACCGTCACTTACCTGAGCATGTTTGGGTCGCAGACCTAAATTTAATACCACCAAATTAGGCAAATCTATAAGGTTTGGGCTATTTTTTTTGGTATATGACTAGAGTTCGGAGGTTTCAGTTTAAACCAATAAAAACCAATAAAAAGTATGTCGAATCCATGTTTGTAAATTCGGTTTTAACCGAAAAAGGTCAGTTTTTAGGCGGCATTTTCGATTTAAACCGATAAAATTGATAAAAGTATGTCGAATCCAGTTTGTAAAATTCTGTTTTAACCGGAAAAGATCACTTTGACCTTCCAGTCGTACTGCAGAGCCGCGGTGAAGAAGTGGAACGACAGTGTCTATCGAAACGTGTCCGAATGTATGGGGTACACGGATGCCATCACGACGTTTTGTAATGCGCGCATCATCAATCAAAACGTGAAGTTTGAAATGCTTCATGACTTCGCCATGTCCAACCGTGTTTCCAAACTTGTTGTAGGGGAAACTGACTTGATACAAGCTCTGCATGTTGTGTTGTGCTTCAAAACGTCGCACCATGTCTCTTTTGGTGGTCACAATTGGTTGATCGGCCGATATTTGCCTCAAGCAGCGCTTCATCTCCTCAGCCTGCCAGTGTCCAGTGTTAGCGTTGAGAGGGCATTCTCGAAGCTCAGGGTTATAGTAACAGGAAAGAAAGAGTGCAGATCAACAAGGAGAACCTGGAAAAGTATGTGTGTGTACTATAATAAGATCACGTTAATCCTGATGTACAGAAGATGAAGTTCCATGTTGTTAAGGCATACGCTTCGTATCTAACTTGTTTGCACTTCAGTGTTTTTTTCTTGTTTCTTTTACAGTTGGACACATTTTCCAAATAAAGTGTCCATTTATTTTTCAATGTATCTGTGCCATTATTTTTTGAGTGATCACAAATATCAGAGTTACAAGAATCACCTGATCCGGTGTCCGTTGGTGTTTATCTTATATTCACCGAAAAAAGTCGATAAACTTTTGTGGGCATAAATATATGCAAAAAAAAAAAAAATCAATTTTTAAAATAAACATTGAAAAAAGCATGCTGAATTTTGAAAAAAAAGCAACCGAAAATGCGGAACCCTATATATGACAGAACATATTTTGCCGACATTATCAGAGTTGGGGAAAGAAATAAAATCAAGTCAAGTTTAAGAGCTTGACACCTGTGGGGAAACAACTTGTTTTCATCTTTGTTTTTCAGGGAGGGGGAATTGGCATTTGGTTTACTGACACAGTGACTTGTCACAAGCTTATTGAGCATGGGGCTACCAGACTCTGCACTCCAACCACCAACAAACAAAAAAAAAAAAAAAAAAAAAAAAAAAACCTTTTGCTTTGCGATGAAAGTTGTTCTCTGTAGCAACCAAATAACAGAGAGAATGCGAAGCACATTATGTCACATCTGTGTTCTCATCGGCTTTTTCTTCAGCTGTGGGTTTCAGTCAGCCTCTTGATAGAGTGGCATCATAAAGGCTGTCAAGGTGTGATGAAACAACGACGCTCGGACATGTGCATGAACACCCCATAGCCCTGCACTCTATGAGAAATGCATATGGTTATCACAGGCACCTGTGAGCAAACAATGTGCACACACATCCCTCGGCATAGTCACTGCTCACAACCCGTTGATCATTCTTCTGCTTGTTTGTATGGAGACCTGGAACACTGCTGGGTGCAAATGAGGACATTCTGACATAAGTGTGTGAGGACCACCAACTGAGGAATGTTAGCAGCGAGATATGATCAAGAGTACAAAGATAGCGGCGCAAGTGACATTCTAAACAGGGCTCTGATCTGCAGTGGGTACAAAAGACTGACAACATTAGAAAGCCAAACAGCACAATGAGATATACTTGTAGACATCATCTGAAACAGTCGAAAAGTGTGATATGTTTGTAGTCATCGATTTATGAGAGTGGTTTCTTCCCAGGCCCAATTATTTTACATAGCATGCATCTTTACAAGGCTTCCTCGCACACTACGTCATTCCGAAGTGTCCGTAGATATTCCTATTTAAAGCACCTGTCGGAATTTCCATTTCTAGCGTGGTAAAATACCATAATTGAGGAAACGCGTACAGCAGAAGAACACCAGCCTGGCACATGAAGCGACATCAGTGCAAGCGATCTAAACTTGTAACAGGAGGAGCATGAAACAGTCCGAAATAATTTCTTTTCAGGCGTCAGCGCAAACAAGAAGCATTATTGTTTTGATGGATGTCGGACAATGAACCCTAAACTTGATCTGAGGTGTCCGAGCTCCCAATTTGCTGATACACGCAAGCAGTGCTGACTCGGCGGATGGACCTTCACGTACTACGACAGTGCTCAAAGATCTATGTCTATGTGCACCGATGCAATGCAACGTAACGAAGGAAAAGAAAACGAGAAATATGTGATCTGCCAGAAACCTCATGTGAAAAAGCACGTCTGTAATTTCCAGTTGGCGGCCTATCGCTCCGACTAAACGTGGACCGCAAAGGAAAAAAAAAATTGAAGCAAATGAACGCATTATTGGACGCACGCAATGGCACGGTTGCAAAGAACGGTGCACACGATGCGAGTGCAAGTAAACATGCTTGACCTAAACACAGCTAGGGAAGACGCCGATGTTTCTGAAGAGAAATAACAATTTCCTCGCCACGTCTGTCGGTCACTGAATGCCGAGACGTAGTTTTCGTAAGAACAATGATTTGAACAAAACATCCGTGACAGACTGGACGTGGAGGAAAAACGCCCCAGCGCGCTCAACTTACTTCTCGATTTCCAGAGCCGCGGTCTTCCGTTTCTCGTACAGTTTGTCGTTTAAGGCGCGGACACAAGCCGCAGTCAGCGGTGCGTAATCTTTCTCGGTCAGATTTGCCATTTTGACTAAGTAGATTCGTTCTCTTTTTCTTCTAAAAGGCACTCATTCCGAAGCACCACCCCATTAAAATACGGACGCCGACAATTTGGATTGGATTGGATTGCGCCGGCTAATTGAACTCTGCTAGTTGCCAGACTTTACTAGGACTACGCCACCGGCGTCAACGGCGCTTCCTGAAGCTCTGCAAGTTCGTTGACGAGCTTGAGTCGGAGGAGAGATCAGTGGTCGGAGCGAACGCAACGGCGTTTTTTATTTTTTAATTCTTCTTTACCTAATTGTGAGCAACGTTACTAGATCACTTTCCAGTTGTCAAACGCTGCCACGAACCGCCACTAGACTAGAAGCGGTCCCTTTCAGTTTCCGCTCACCACGAAGCGCGTGTGTCGTGGACTCGTGGTAGGGACTCGTGGTTTGTCCCTAAACTCGGTTTCGGTTTCGCTTACTTCATGCCCATCGCCGCTTCCCATGGGCACGACCGCTCGGTGCACGGCCGCTCGGTGCTCCACGAGACAACCCTTGCAAAGTTTCACTTTCTCTATGTACGCAGGAAAACATTTCAAGTCATTAATTGACTTTAACTCCACAGCCAAGTCCCTGGCGTACACACTTGACGGCACAACCCGACCCCTAGCACCGACAGACAAAACTATGGCTGCTTGAGTCTGTCACAGCCTTCTTGACTGGAGGAACAGCATTTCTCATTTCGAGTCTGGGCAGGACGATCGGGGCATCAATAACTTCCGTAGTCCAACCTTCTACATGTTGGTCCGCTTGAGCCATGAGAAAAAGATCCCCGTATAGCGGTGGGGCGCCGTAGCGCCGTCGGGTAACACGCTGCCGTTTGCAAAACAGCTTCTTTCGTCAAAATCGTCGAGGTTGTTGTCTCTGCCTGCTTGGCAGGGGTTTCCCCAGGATTCTAATCAAGGGGGGGGGGGGGGGGTGTTTCAATGGCTCGGGGAATATAAAACTGTTTCTTTTTTAGTCCACTAGCTAAATTACAGACGACTATTAACCAAATGCTCATACCCGTAACGTATGTTTCCCTTTCTCTATATATACACCTGAGAGGTGGTGTTTTCTACTTAATCTGAAAAAAAAAAAAAAAGAATTTTATTTTATTTTTTCTTTCTTTTTTAGATTCAAGGGGGGGGTGTCCAGGAAAGCTAGGGGGGTCTCAACCCCCCCTAGGGGGGGTCTAGGGAAATCCCTGCTGCTTGGTTACCTTTGCCTTGTCCTTTCCGGCGCTTTGTTTCTGGGGGTGAGTGGCGTACCAAGTACCAACTTGTTTGTGAGTGGGGAAGCAAATCAAACCTCCCTCCCCCTCCCTCCCCCCCCCCCCCCCCCCCCCCCCCCCCCCCCGGGTCGCATATTTAGTAGTGATGGGCCGAACTTTTGCCGAATCGAAAATTCGGCGCAATTTTTGCCGAACTTTTCTAAAGATTTGGCAATGATTCGGCAAAAATACACTGTTACCAGACTTAACATTGATATTTACTTTTTTCTAACGAAAAAAATATTTTTTCTTAATAATAATAATAATAATAATAATAATAATATAATAACTTTATTTGCACATACTGGAATGGGCACATGTGGTGGTGTGCGGGGCTAGGCAGATACAACATGTAGTACTTATTGACACGGTTATGACTGGGTGTATCTCGAAACAACCCATTCTTATTTTAACCCTTCTCGTTTGAACCCATTCGCAAAACGCCCTTCCCGTTTCAACCTTTCGCGTTTCGACCCTTTCTTATTTATACCCGTCTCATTTGAACCCATTCTCATTTGAACCCTTCTCGTCTGAACCCATTCGCAAAACGCCCTTCGTAGAAACGCGAAAGGGTAGAAACCTTTCGCGTTTCTACCCTTTCTCATTTGAACCCGTTGTCATTTGAACATCGTAGTGAGGTATACACGTTTGCAAGTCCGGCTTCAGGGCGCTGCCATCTTGCTTGGCTGGGGTGCGCTTGGTCGAGTCATAATCCGATTACGAAGCCTTGCTAAGGCGTCGTAATCGGATTACGGCCGCGCCCAAGGTTGCACCCCAATGAGGAAGATGGCGGCGCCCTGAGTCCGGACTTGCAAACGTGTATAGTAAGAAGGAAAAACAGTTGAGGCTGAAGGTTGAAGATGAAGCGAAGCGGCACCATCTCTTGCATACACGATTGCAAGTTCGGCTTCAGGGCGCTGCCATCTTGCTCGCTGGGGTGCGCTTGGACACGTCCTAATCCAATTCCGAAGCCTTGCTAAGGCGTCATAATCGGATTATGGCCGCTCCCAAGCACACCCCACTGGGCAAGATGGCGGCACCCTCAGACCGGACTTGCAAACGTGTATAGCACATGAAACAATTTTCCTTATGCCTGCGTGCTACCCCGAGTCTGTTGACGTAGCTACGTGGTCACATGGTGACGTGGTTTCAAAAGTGCTAGCGCAGATTCGCTACTTCATTTCTCTTCTGTCGCTGTATGTCGTTAAGATGTCGTCGTGTGGAGCGGATGGATCTTGTGCTAGTAGTGTGTTATTGTTTGTAATGGCCAATTCGGGTGGTCATTTTCCCTGAAAAAAAAAAAAAAAGATTTCCCATATCTTCAGCAAGGGCGTTCGCGTGGTCAAAGGCTGGCGGGTGCAAGCTTTTCGAGTTGCGCTTCTCAGGCGTGTACCGGCAATTTACCAGCAGAAGTTTTTCAGAGCTCCAAGAGGTCGGGCAGCTTGTCTGTAAGACTGTATCCGGTATCGTCACATCCGAATCGGGATAGGGAACTAAACGAAACAATGCTCGCTGAGGCGGCAAATAGCGGTATCGAGTGGCAAACGAAGCCATCGAGACAGGCACCCTTTTGTGCTCTGAGACAAGATAGCAAAAACAACGAAGAGAAATATAATTTATGTTTCAAAGAAAGTTAACATTTTTGGAAGAATTTATCCAGCCTGAGCAAGGTATGTTTGCTCTGAGACACGGGCTGCATCATACATAATTTTATTTTACAACTCTGTACTAACAAGTTATTACATCGCTGAAAAAAATGTATGCATAGTGATGCAGTTTGAAACTTGAACACGCTTTACAATTTCAAGGAGGGTGGGTGCAATGAGAAGACTGAGGATTCCAAAAAAGGTACTAGAGAGTTTTAGTAGATCGTTCCGATACCCCCGATAGCCCCGATAACAATACTATGCATGCGCAAGGGAGGCGGTGGCGGAGTATCGGGTATCGTTATGGGAGTCATGGGAATGATATGCTAAAACTCTCTAATAACAGTAAACAGAATATGGAAAGCGACGTTGGCAAGCCTCCGTGGCAACAATTAATCGAAAATCAAAACGAAGTTTATTGAAATTTGACGCGCGTGCAGGCAGCACCACACTGATTTATACATCTGCCCTTTCATTGATTTTATATTTTAATATTCTGTCAGCTGTACGGACTGTGGTAATGCCAATATTTTGAAAAGTTTTGTGAAGCCGCTTCTGTTTACACACATCTCAAAGAGTCGTAATTTATGTTGTTGGCGTATGCAGCGTGCTCATTGTACCATAGAATGATCGAAGAAGTTCACAGAGCTCACTCGCGACCCAGTCAAATAAAAACGCCAGTTCATTGTGTTTTGCATTCGGGTGGAGAGGGTCCCGTGATGCGCCGCTGGCGCGTTTTTGGTCGCCGGTGCCACAGGCAAGGGCTCGAAGGCAATTAATTACCCGAATTCGCCATAAATACTGCAGAAAGATTGTGAGATCATGATGTTGGATTAATTTGGGTTCGAAATGAGAGCGGTTAAAATAAGAAAAGTCTTTCTGACAATGGTCAAAACCAGAAAGTATGTTTTGAGAAAATTTGAAATGAGAAAGGTTCAAATGAGAAAAGTCGTTTTGAGAAGGGTCAAAACCCGAAAGTTTGTTTTGAGAACGGTTTAAATGAGAAAGGGAGAAACGCGAAAGTTGTTTTGCGCTGGGTTGAAATGAGAAGGTAAAAGCGATAAGGTAGAAATGCGAACGGGCTCAAATGAGAACCACCCTTATGACTAAATACGGTAATATTCTACAAGATAATTGTACGATGTCGCTTTTGTGTGTTTACTGGCAATTTTAGTGACTGGCGATTTCGGTGTTTGCTTGCAGAAAGTGGCGTGACAACGAGGTTGGGCAGCCGGCGCAGTCACGAATCACGCTACGAGAGTTTTGATTTTGAGGCTTCATCAGCGCACGCCTGCAAGTGTGTTTACATTGTTAAGAGGGCGCGGTACCTCTATTTATTCGTCCGTTTCAGCCACCAGATGGCGCGCGGCTCGAAACGTGGTTGAACGCGCAACTTCTAGATGGCGCCAGTATCGAGGTGTGAAGAGGCCCGCGTTATCCGCTGCGTGAAATAGATCCCGAAATGTGCCGTGTTCTCCCGGCGGAGGAAGTTTCTCCCTCCCTCGCGCGCGCTTGGTATGTACGCGCGGTGGCCGAGTCCGGCCTCTGCGCTGTGTGATGCAGTCGGTGGCACTCGTTTCTGTTCGGAGGTAGGAATAAAAATGCCGGTCCCCTTATTTACGACGCTCGTTTCTATAGCTTGTTTTTTTTTTTTTTTTTTATCTCAAGTGACCTACAGTACCGCCTGTTCGAAATCGTCCTTTGCGGTGAGCGATTGAGAGTCAGGTTAGCATTTTATTTGGGTCAGCACTACACGTTCAATGGAGACCTCGGGCGGCGATGTAAATATGCATTGCTCCCCAAAGTGTGTCCAAGGTGCGCAATGAAAATTGGAAAGGGTATTGAAGGTGCGCGACCGTCGGTTGGTAAAATACGTGCGTTAGATTCACTTATTCAGTCTAATCATTTTTGCCAACGTCTTTTATCTGTTTCGACAAATGACATGGTTGAGTCTATTGATAACCTTAGCTAGATTCGACGTACGGAGTGTCCGGGCTTTAAATAAATTTGCTTCGTTTATGTGAATGAATAACTGTTTTCTCTTTTCCGTGCTCGGTGCTATGCAAAAATCGCTGAGATGTTATGGTAGCTCAGTGTGGCGGCGTTTTGCACCCTGACTC